AAGGAATCTTTCCCTGTGAGGGTAGGGAAGCCTTGGCACAGGTTGCCCAGAGAAGCTGTGGCTGCCCCATCCCTGGAAGTGTTCCAAGGCCAGGTTGGATAGAGTTTGGAGCAACCTGGGCCAGTGGAAGGTGTCCCTGCAAGGAGTGAATGGGATGGGCTGCCCTGGCAGGGAGATGAAAGGCCCCTGCAGGTTTTACCAGGGCTCCATTGCGTGATGCTGATAAAGCTCCAAAGTTGTGGATCCTTGCAGCTCTTCATCCCAAAAACACTGCAAGAAAAGGCATTGCAATTATCCCACTGGGTTGCAACAAGAACTTGGAGAAGCAAACAGATGAATTTTTAAGACTTATCCCCAAACTCAGCCCAGGGCACAGCCTGGTCCTTCTCACCGTGGCAGGGACTGTCACCTCCCGGGCCACCCCGAGCCCAGAGCAAAGCCTGGAGATATCCAGGCAGGTTTACTGATGCTCATGCCTCATGTATTAACAGGAAATCATAATTTCTCTCTTTGCCACGGGGCGTTTCCAGGCTGGCAGCTCCTTCCTTCCACCTTCCTGGGTCTCCATAATTATTTACATGTGGGCTGTGTTTATTGGCAATTAAATGGTTCAGTGGCTCCGAGACATCAGTCTCCTCTTAACATGTTGTCTGCCAGATTGCTTCCTGCCGGCAGTCCCTGTGGGATGGGGAATTCTGCAGAGCCCTCCGGGGCTGCGTGTGGATGGGAGGGAGCAGCTGGCAGAGCTTCCCCCCTGCCGCCCACCCGGAAAAATCACGCTCTGACAGAGCAGGTTTGGAATTTAGAGCCAAGGGGAGGGGATGGGGCTGTGTTAAACACTGTGAAAACAGGCGGATTCGAGCCCTGGGAGACCAGAGGGGTGGTAGGGATGGGCTGTGCAGGAGCATCCCAGCCTGGAGCGGGGAATGGAGAGATGTGACAGCCCGGGATGGGGCTGTGCAGAGACTCTGTGCCTTTGCAGCTCCATCCTGTCAGTGCCGGGAATTTGCTGCCGGAGCCAGTCCTGGCTCCAAGGAGCTCTTTGTGAGCACTCAGCGGGGAAGAGCCCCCAGTCCTGCTTTCCCATCAGGGCTCTGCCACAAACCAGATGTTTTTGTGGCCACCCAGAGCATCCCCAGCTCCTCATCCCCAGCAGCTGCCACTTGGTTCCTTCCAATCTCCCAGCCCCAAAACACCCCCTCGGCTCTAAAACTCCCCCCTCAATCCCACAGAACAACTTGATTCTGGATGGGGCTTGGAGCAACCTGGGCTAGTGGAAGGTGCCCCTGCCCATGGCAGGGAGTGGAACTGGATGATTTTTAAGGTCACTTCCCACCCAAATCACTCTGGGATTCTCCCCAAAGTCCAGCACACTGGGTTCTCATCAGCTCTGTGCTCACTTGGACTTGCTAATGATCGGGCAGTGGGATGGAGGTGTGGGATGACTAAGCAGCGTGGGGATCCAGATATTTATATGTATTTATTGTGGGTTTGCGTTTTAAATCTCAAGCCTTTGCTGTTTCTTCCTGCCCAGCCCTTTCCCAGGTTAGAAATGAGCCTGGACCACCACAGTTCCGCTCCTCTGCCAGCAGGAGACCTGAGCCCATGCCCAGCCACACTCTTTATCCCTTACTCCTCACTCTGGCATCTTAAAAGTCCCTCAGCAGGGGCTTCCTCAGGCACCTGCGTGTAGCTGCTGGTTCCCACACCCCTGTTTTCCTTCTCACTTGATGCTTGATCCCAATAAACAGCATTCTGCCGGTTGCTGGGAGCTTTTCCCAAGCCCTCGGTGCTTCCAGGAGAGCGAAAAGATGTGTTTAAGCCTCAGAGTGCCTTGTTGTTTCCCATTCCAAGCTCCCACCAGCAAATACCCCTCACTAGAGCCAGGGAAAGGTGCAGTTCCCATGCTGGTCCCGGGCCTCGCTGAAGAGCTCATGGATAAACCCTGCTGGGGATTTATTGTAGTCCCTCTCATAGCTCAGCAAGGATCCTGTGGCTCCCATTAGCACTTTGGGGAGGCATAAAGCAAATTCCTCGAGTTTTTTCTCTGGAAATCACGTTAAGGTTTGCTAAAAGCAACAAAAGATGCAGTTTATAATTCTGGGTGTGCAAAGGAAAAGCTTTTGGTAAGTTTAAATCCAAAGGTGTTTTTTCCCCCCTAAAGAAGGAAGCCACCTCAAATGTGTTTATAGGTAAATGGAAAATAGACCCGGAAAATGCCCTGACATGGAGAAGAGGTCGGATATAACCAAGGCAGGACACTCCTGCCTGTTATCTGAGATGAGATTCCAGCTTTGGTTCCCAACCCTGCTACAGATCCCAAATGTGGGGCAGCCCTGCTGAATTTGGTGGCACCAGCGCTTCAGGGAGAGCAGCTGAGGTTCTACAGAACCTTCCCATCCGACCGGGACATTTCTGAATTCTCCTCTTTTAACCCAAAGGATCCGACTGCCAAGGATAAGAGTATCCAAGGAAAACCATGTGGAGGGAGGCACGTGGGCCCCAGCGGAAGGTGCGTGACCGACAGGTGTCCCCTCCTCCCTCCCCCTGGCACTGGGCCTGCAGATATTTTGCTCTGAGACGCAACTTCCATTATTTCCATGGCAACCGTCCTTTGTCGGGGCTCAAGACGTGGAGATTTTTTAACAACTCCCCGTTTGCCAATTCAAGCCCCAGAAGGAAGTGGGGAAGTTCTCATTCACATGCAAAACAGCCGCGATAAAAGCTGAGGGGTAGCGGGGGCAGCCTTTGGGCTTTTCCTCCTTTCCATAGTTTACAGTGGGAAAGAGCCCTGTCCAGGGACACTCTGGGACCCACCACACCCGTGTTGGGGCACAGTTCTGTCAAACCCAGCCATGGCAAGGATTGGAACTTGGTGAGCTTTGAGGTCCCTTCCAAACCAAACCATTCCATGATTCTTTGAATACCAAAATATCTCTACACACGATGGATCCATCGGAGACATTTTCCTTTGGCTCCACGTTTGTACCTGAGCTGCTGTGAATCCCCTCCTCCCTGCTCCTGCAGCCATCACCTCTTACCCTGTGCTCCAGAGGACGGTTGGATCTTGCTCCCACCTCCAGCACCTGTGGCAGCTGTGGAATCTCCTCCTGATTTATTCTACCCTGGAGAAACATCTGACAAAGGAAAGAAATTATATAGCTGCCTGTGACTTTTATTTTTCTTCCCACTTGTTCAAAGCTTCCTTGGGGAATTGTGCCATTGGGCACGGATAAAGTGAAACCCCAGTAATGGAAACCTGATGGATTTCTCATTTTTGCTGACTTACAGACAAACTTCTGCCCAAGCTACAAGGTTCCACCTGCATTAAAATCCTCCTCACTGGAGGGTAAACGGAGGTGGGAGTCCATTTGCTTTATTTAAAGAGAAAAAAGTGACCAGTGATAACCAGAAAAGGAGAGAGAGAGTCAGAGAAAAGCAAAATCCTTCTGTGCACAATAAATTAGATTAAAGGGACAAGAGACCGAAATTTAATATAGGGAAAAGAAGCTGCAGCAGATAAACAAACAAGCAGCATAAACCTTGAAAACTACTGAGAAATAAACATTTAATTAAAAACCCAATCACCAAACAAGCAGGAAATGTTCCTTCAGCTTCCCAGAAGCAAAGATAGTGAAGCCTTACCAGCTTATTCCTAGTTAGGGAGACCTGGAGGTCAGGTTTAATTACAGCTCAGCACACACCCCCATCAGCATCTGTCTGACGAAATAAAATCCGATTCCCAGCTGGATCTGGTGGCTTTGGCTGGAGGACAGGGCAGATCTCCAGCTCTTCCAGCACCAGGCACCAAAATCCCAGGGGACAGACAGGAATGTTGCACAAGGAGAGCAAAGCCAATCTCTCACCCATTTTTGTCCAGGATTGGTGGCTGCAGATTCAGGACACACCGGGAGCTCAAATCCATGAATGTACCAGTCCTTGCTCTCGTGCCCAGCCATGATCCCCCTTTTGAAAGGCAAAAATTCCTCAGCCCAAACTGTCCTGGGCTACTCAATCCAACGGTGGGTTCAGATGCAGCTCCAGGCCCTTCTTCCAGAAAATTTTACACATCCTGAAGGAAACACCTTAAAAAGAGGGAAGGACAACTAAGAGATGAATCCCAGGAAGCCACCAGCTCCATAACCCATCCCTGCCACTTTGTACCAACCCCACAGCAACGAGGAGCCCATGTGGGTGCTTTTCACCCCATTTCCCCGTGTCCTGTTACCATCTCAGCGTTCAGCTCCAACGTGTCCCCTCTCCATTTGGTGCTGCTGCTCTGGCAATTAAAACACTATTTAATCCCAACAGCAATAACCAATTCATCACACCCCCACGGAGGGGCAGAGGCCTCTCCAAGAACACAAATAATCCCAAGGAAAAGCACTCACAGGGTAATTCATATCAAAACTTTATTAGAAACGAGGACACGGCCTCCCAGGAACAACATCCTGCATTATCTCCCGAACTTGTACAATTTTAGAGCCATAATTAAATACAAGAGCTACAAAAAGGGTGTGCACAGCTGTAAAAGGAAGGAGAACTAATCCCCAAAATGCCATTGTTTCAAACATGGCTGGGGAAAGGATTTTTTCCACGGTGGTTTCCACGCAGGGCCCACGAGGCTGTGAGCTGGCGTGCTGCCCGTGGGATTTGGTTTTCCATCCTAAGGACCAGGATGGGGTTTGATCTTAGCCCAAGTCTGTATTGCTTTAATTCACAGGGAAGAGCAGAGTGTGATGGTTTGATATTGCATCTGATATGTGATGCTGGGTAAATAGTTGTACTGTCAAACCTTAAAATCACACAGAAAAGGAGTATTACCCTATCCCTAGTTATATTTCAGTGGTAAATAATAACTATTATCAATAATAATAATAACAATAATAATAATAAAACCCAGAGGTACTACTGACACAGAAAAAAAAAAAAAAAAGACCAGCCTCATTTAAGCACCATCTACAATGAGAAAACAAAGAATAAATGGGGTCTGGTCTATATTATACCCAAACCCCATCTCCTGTCTGACCTAGGACCGGTTTAACAGCGCTGATTTTTAGTGCATCAACTGCCAGGTTACAGTTTCAATTCAACCACATACCATTTCATATAAAACACGGGAAAGGAGGAAAAAATACTGAAAATATATGAATTTCTCAGGTTCCTTATGAGCGTTTTCCACGTCTTGCCATTAAAAAAAAAAAGGGATTTAGAAGAGCAAGACAGAGATACAAAAGCTACTGTGCTCGAGTCAGCGGCGAATGTACACGGGAAAGTCAGAGCCGTACGAAAAGTATCCTAAATAGCAAAGGCAATATAGAATATTTCATATAAAACAGGGTTTGCAAAGTATAAAATTAGGAAATACTGCATAGAAGAGCGTGTTTCACACAGCAGCAACGGCTGTGCTAGCAAATCCTTGAGGCCAAGGCGGAATTCCCGCCGGAATCACTGCCTGCAGAACTCGCTGGTGATGTTGGGGAGGGGGTAGGCGAAGAGGGAGAAGTCCAGGATGTATTTTGGGAGGAGCTCCTTGATGAGCCGGCGCTGGGTGTTGCACAGGTAGTAGTGGAGCGTCTGGGCCGTGACGGGCTTGTACCAGGCCTGGCGCTCCGGGAAGCGGATGAAGGAGGGCGCCTGGATGCGCTCCAGGACGTGGTCGGCGTCGTCGCGCAGCCGCTCGTAGGAGCCGATGAAGTCATACCTGACGGCGCAGGGCTGGCACAGGTTGTAGATGGGCATCCAGTGCTCGTTCATCCGCTCCACATCCTCGTCCAGCAGGTACCGGAGGAACTCGGAGAAGGTCACGTCGTCTCCCGCCGAGTTCCCGCCGTTCTTGCGGTACCTCCGCACGATCTCCACGCCGTACTTCTGCTGGTACTCCTTGATCTCCCCGAACTTGTTCCGGTAGGCCGAGAGCAGCCTCTCCATGGGGTTCCGCACGAAGAGGAACTTGTAGTAGTGCTTCAGGCGGTAGCTGATCTCCTCGGGCTTCATGTCCCCCAGGAACACCAGGTCGCTCTTGTGGTCCATCTTCCCCTGCACGTCCACGCTCTCCAGCGCCCCGTCCAGCACCTTCAGGATGCGCTTCCAGTTGGAGCAGGCCACCTTGGGCACGTAGCAGTAGAGGAAGCGGTACTTGTCGCTGACCAGGAGGTGCCGGAGGAGGGTGCGGCGCTGCCCGGCCGGCAGGTCCCACACGCTGCGGGGCATGGAGCGCTGCCCGCACAGCGCGCGGATCGTGCGGTTCCGGGTGTCCCGCAGCACCTCCAGCTCCAGCCCCGGCCCCGCGGGCGGCTCCCGGCGGGACGGCGGCCCCGCGGGCGGGTGGGGCGGCGGCGGCCCGACCTGTGCGAGGATGCCGCGCTGGATCATGAGGAGCAGCCCGCTGGAGGCCAGGATGACGCCGAACATCAGCATGGAGGGCAGCAGCGCCGCGCCCCGGGAGCGCGCCCGGCTGCGGCCCGGCGGGACCCGGCGGGGCTCGGCGGGGCCGGGGGCGCGGGGCTGCATGGCCGGGGGGGCTCCCGGGCCGGCCCGGCCTCGGGGGGTCCGGCCCGCGGGGTCAGCGGGCGGGGCGGCCGCGCTGACGGAGCGGGGCGGGAGGAGGAGGAGGAGGCGGGACCGCCCCGCGCTGCGACCGCCCCGCCCGGGGCCGGGGCGGGGAGAGGGGAGTCACCAAGTGCCGGAGTATTTGGGGCGGGAGGGATCCTAAACGTCAGCCGGCCGGCGGCAGGGGCACCTTCCATTACCCCGAGTTGCTCCAAGTCCCATCCAACCTGGCCTTGGACACTCTCAGGGATGGAGCGGCCACAGCTTCTCTGGGCAACCTGTGCCAGGGTTCCCTCCCAGGGAAGGATTTCTTCCCTGTATCCATCCTAAATGGCCCCTCTTTCTGTTTGAATCCGTTCCCCCTTGTCCTGTCACTCCTAGCCCTTGTCCAAAGTCCCTCTCCAGCTCTCCTAAAGCCTCTTTAAGCACTGCAAGGGGCTCTAAGGTCTCCCTGGCACCTTCTCTTCTCTGGACTGAACATCCCCCCAGCTCTCCCAGCCTGTCTCCAGAGCAAAGCTGCTCCAGCCCTCTAATCACAGAATCCCAGAATTATTTAGGTTGGAAAATAGCTCCAAGATCATCGAGTCCACCCTGTGCCCGATCTCCACCTTCTCAGTCAGCCCAGAGCACTGAGTTCCACATCCAGTCGTTCCTTGAACACCTCCCTGGGCAGCCCATTCCAATGTGCGATCACTGTCTCTGTGAAGAACTTCCTCCCAGTGTCCACCCTAAACCTCAGCTCAGGGCTGTGTCCTCCTTTCCTCTCCCTCATTCCCTGAGGTCAGAGCTCAACCCCCCGTATCCCTCCTCCTGTCAGGGAGTTACAGAGCCAGAAGGTCCCCCCCTGAGCCTCCTTTTCTCCAGGCTGAACCCCCCAGCTCCTCAGCTCCCTCCTGGGACTGATTCCCACTAACCATCCCTCTGGAGCAAGCCCGGAGTCACCCAAGGGATCCCCACCGGCACCCTGTGATAACAGGTGGTTTTTGCAATACCAGGCCAAACCAACCATAATTAGCCATTGTGCCACACTTCGTATTATTCTCTAATTCTGTAATCCCTGCACAGGTTTAGCACCTGGAGGAGGAGCAGACACCCGTTACCTGCAGAGCCGAGGATGCTGTGCCACCACCCGCGAGCCAAAGGACAGGATTTTCCAACACTTGGTAGGCATTTCCCCCAAACCACCTCTTTGAGTGACTCCAGCTGTTCCACCTCCTCTGCTTAAGGCAAAGCACTAACCTGGCCATCAGGATGCCATTTCCTCGTCCAGCAGAAATCATTCCACGCTGCCATTGTTCTCCCAGTTTTCCTTCCACGAGTTTTCCGAGCGTATCACGGGGCTTGGGCTCTCGAGCAGCCTTGCAGGGACTCTCTGTCAGGAGCTTTTTTAACATCAAGAGAAAACCGGCTTCCACTTACTTCCCTTTGATCAAAAGCCAAGAGCGTTTTGTCAGCCAAGGCAGACAAAGCCCTTGGAGTGCAGTGCCAGAGCCTGCAGCTACATTATTTCACATTTCCCAGTTTTATTTGGATGTAAATACAGCTTTAGCTCTAGGAAGACACGGATATCCTACCCTGCCACCAGCAAAGCTGCACGCACGAGGTGATACCAGATTCCTGCTCTGATTGCAGAGGGCAAGTCCTGATCTGATCTCAACACCAGACCAAACTGAAGCTGTGCCAGCATATATAATCACTGAGGCAAAAAAATCAGGCCTTCTTGGAAATCCCTCCTCTTGGAAAAAAAGCCTCATTGCAGCAAACTCCAAAGCAGCCAAGGGGTATTTCTATGTATTAGTCTGGCAACGCTCATCCCTTTTTGTTCCTATTCTCCCCTAATATCTCCAGGTCAGGAGCAGTTGCATAGGATAACACAGTGGTTCTGGAAAGAGAGAGAAATAGGAGGCTGCCCATGAGGCCAGTGGGGCTATTTTCCAAAGGGAATTGGATTTAAGGACTGGTCTGAAGAGCACAGGTAGAGGACAGGATGCAGAGTCCCTATGGGAACAACACAGCCAAGCAAATACACGGCTCAGGGGCTGGGTCGCAGGGTTAAACCCCGTGTCACTGGGGAAAATTAATTGTGGTTATACTCCCTGTGCCTAATTAACACCCAGAGTGAGCAGTAATTTGATTTTCAAAGCAGTTAAAAGCCGCCTCACGTTCAGAGTGGGAACATATTTCCCAGACAGATCCATTCCTTCAGGAAAGGTATATTTAGCAAATAAAATGTCACAGAGGAAACAAATCTTCAGGCTCCCGTGGTTTGTTTGTACAACAAACCACAAGGATGGAAGGTTTTGGTTCTCTCTTATGAGGGAGAAGGGAAACCCACACAGCCTTTCCCAGCAGATGCTCTGCCAGGCCTCATCCCTGCAATTCCCACTCACAGGTATAAAAGGAGGATTTTTGTAACTCACAGCCCCTTTCAAGATGCTTCCAAACCCCAACAGTCACCTTAAGAGCACCACAGGCTCCACCCCTGGGTAACTGGAGGATTAAGTTTCTGGGCCTTTTCCTCACTGTTTACTTGCACGAGCAGAAAACCAACATTAAAATACATTACCGTTATTATTATTATTATAATATCACATTTTAATATCATCTGCATTACACTGAGCCAGTCTCCCAGCAATATTTATGCGCACTCAGGTTTAAGACAGGCTGCAGAACTCGCCTGGGATGTCAGAGATCAGGAATATGTATCAGTCTGACAAGGAAAGGGCCCAATTCCCAGAAAGGATGGAGGAAAAGGCTGAGGGATGTCCCTGTCTGTCCTGCTCAGACTGAGGCTGGACACTGCTGTCATCACCAGTGCCCTGCCAAGGCTCTTCTGCCCCTTGGGCTGAGATGAGACATTTATTTTGGGCTGAGGAGCTGCAAAAAAGAAGAATGTGTAAGGCCCCAGGAAAAGCTGAGCCAGAGAAAGGAGGTTTCCTTAAAAAAAAACAAAACAAAACCAGTTTGGGCTGATGCCAACTTTCCAGACAAGCACCAGCACCATGATTCCTAACAAAGGACACCCCCTGGATGGGTCTGAGCAGCTCCGGATCAAAAGGTAAAACAAGCAAAGGAAGGAGAGATCCAATGCTGTGGCTCCGTGTCCAGAGATTATCCTGTAATTTGGTATAATAAAGCCTCTTATCCAAGGGGATAAGCACAGAAGCCGCTCCACAATCAGCTCATGACCAAGGCAGAGTTTCTTATCTCTAGAGAAAAGAGCCTTTTTAAACAGAGTCAAACACTCCAAATGAACGCGCTGGATAATTCCAAGGAGATGGTCACGATCGGCTCGGTCAGAACAGAAACAGCCCTGTTTTCAAGGAAAACTTTGTGCTTGAGGACCTGGTTATAAACTCATGGATATGCAGTTGGCTGAACTTGCAAAGAGCTTACTCCGAGCTCAGTTCCTCACTCCGAGCTCAGTTCCTCACTCCCTGCTCCGCTGGGCATGACTGTGGAATTGCTTTGGAATGGAGCCATCCCGGGAGGTTCAGCTCCTCTGTACCACGAGAACCACCAAGCACTACACACTCAGCAGAGGCCATGACAGCTCCTCCCCTCTGGATTTGGGATGAGGATGAAGGGAGGGGGACGGGAGCACGTCCCGGTCCCCAGAGATTGTGTGGACAGTGAGACCCGGCGTGGAAGCTGCAGGGCAGGGAGCCAGCACAGCTGGCAGGCGCTGCATGGATACACATTCCCCTGGGCTGCACACTCCATACAGAGCACACTCCACATGCTCCAGCTGGGCAGGGGGTCGGAGTGAGGTCAGGAATACTCGGGAATACCGCAGGCACTGGCACAATGGGGATGGCGTTTGTGGCTGTGTCTCACTCGGAGCTTTCCTGGTGTTTTCCTGCTCCCCCCAAAACCCAGGATGACATGCAAAACCCCTCCCAAGCTGAGTGTATCCAATTTTAAGTCAGTAACAACCACAATTCCCTTGTTCTACCCTTTATCCTCCCGCTGACCCACCCCTGATCCCACTGATCCCTCTCAGCCCAGGGCTGCTGGATTCACACACCATCGGAGTCAGAGCCAGCTGGGGCTTTACCACCACTTTTCAGTGCAAACACACACTAAATCCAGCCCAGCTCAAACCTGTGTCGCAGGAGAGTCTCCAAGTCTCTTAACTCATTCCAGGTCTATCTCCCGCTCTTTACACGGAGTTTCCCGAGGCTCCCAGGTGGCTCCTGAGGGGCTGTAATGAACTTGTGAGTGTGTGTGTGAGGTTCCTGCTGGAATCTGCCCAATTAATGTTTTTGTGGTTTCACAGGCAGCGGGACGAGGACTGAACCTGCTCCAACACCTACAAAACCTGCAGCATCTTGTCCCTGACACCACAAATCATTGTTCCAAGGGGAAAAAAAAAAAAAAACAAAAAACAAGAAACGGGAAGGGACTAATAAGGACCCATTCGCCTGAGCCCTGTTTAGGTTTTTAACATCCTTCCATGTGTCAGGAACAACAAATAGCCTGTGAAGGACACGCTTTGCCCCAGGAAAATTGTTTCAGGGGGATATTGGAGACTGGTGGTGGATAGGTGCCAGGAGATCTGGAGGCTAAGCTGAAAGAGATGGGATCTGGCTGGAAATAGGGAGAAATTCATCCTTGAGAGGACAGTCGGGCATTGGAGGAGCTGTGCCATCTCTGTGGAGCCCAGGCTGGCTGACTCACAGAATCCCAGACTCAGGTTGGAAAAGACCTCTAAGATCATCAAGTCTGACCTTCAGTTGTGGTGTCTGTGAAAACTTCCCAATATCCTGATTTTTTTTGTTGTTCTTCTCAATATGGTTTTCTGTGTGTAACCTGGATTTTATAGGAACAGGAAGTTTTGTGCCTTCAGGCCATACAACGGCAGCATGTTACTTAAATTGCTGAGTAATCCCTAAAAAGCATTTTCCTCCGTATTCCAGAGGCGCTTTCCAAGGAAAGTCTGAGGGTTTAGCATCAAGCCC